AGGTGAGCTGAAGCTTTCGACGTGGTTCTGTTACCAAGACTGTCTGTCGGACTGAGGGTCAGCTAAGTGAATATCACTTCTTCACTGTTTAAAATGTATTTAGGTCTTGGCATGCTCTTCTTTGCTGTCCATTCTTTTCATGATTGAATGAAAGTGTTTTCATTTCCTCAGCATAATTTAGCCTGCTCGTAAGCATAGGAATAATGAAAAAGAGAGGCTGTGATTTCATGTAACCAGGTTTGTGAAGAATATTGGATTGGGTCATACTGAATGATGATGCTGATGTGCATTAGCTGCGTATGTGCAAATAAGTGTTGTGTCCTTGGCCCTTATTTAGGCCAAGATGCTAGAGTGGCATGAGTGTGACTCCCTCGGACTGTTTCTTGTCTTGCACAGTCGTACATGGAACCATTTTTACTATAGAACTGCAGGGGAGACCCCCTGTTAGCAGTTATTTCATGGCATCGTATAGCTTCCATGCACAGTCAGTGGGATTGTTTGGGTTGTAATGTCCCCCTTAGAAGACCTACAAACTATAAACTTATCTGAATTCAGTTTTCCTGTCATAGGAGGGTGAACAGCTGAATTAAACTTGTAGATAATTACTATTATAAGTATACTTTTCAGGCCGCTAGTCCTCTTCCCGCAGACCGTGTGTGATCCTGATCCTTTAGGGACTGTTCATCACAAAAAATCTTATATGTAAGATCTTGTCGCTCCCTATTGGTGGCTGTGACCACCACAATGGCTATTGTGTCACAAATATCCTGTTCAGGGGTATCTGGGCAAAACCTCCATTATGGGATAATTGGCATGACAGGATCCTGGGCAGATGACATGTTGTATGATAGGGCTCTTATTTAAACTGCATCCTACAAAGCAAAATCATTAGGATGTGAAACATCCCAAGGGAACAGATTTTTGTCTCAACTTGAGGTCCCTTGTAATGCCCGACATTTGCTTTGCTGGGTCAAACAGTGCTATGTGCAGAATGAAGCATTTCCTGTGCTGCTTCCTCTTTGCCTATTGGGGAAGATGAAAAGGCGAAGTTTTAAAACCCCCACTTAAAAATCCAACGTATGCTCACTGATTTGACAACTCTCATGAAAATCCTTTGATCCTGCCTGGCTGCTGTTTAGTAACAGAGCTGTATTCTTCCTGGTAATTTCCCCAGGGCCCCTTACCCATGCTGTAAGGAGGATCCACTTTAGAACAGGTGGTGCAAAAGCAGCTGGAGCTTTACGCAGGCTCCACTGTCTTTAGCCTCTGATTGTTTTGTATAAAGAGCCCCTGCATAATAGGATGTGATTCTGAATGGAGGGAGGGCTTTGATTGTCATTGCAAGAAAGCACTTCACTCAGTGAGGCCCTCAGAACAATAGCCCTCTAATTATGTGACTTCCTTTTATATGGATTCAAGTGCTACCCATTGCCAGTGCCCTGGGATACCAGCTTGTGATGCTTTCAAGGCTGTGCGGACAGAACATTTCTGGGAACGCTGGTGCAGGGGTAACTGAGGACACGGCTGCATAAAAGGGTGGTTCAGTCTGTGCAGCACAACACCGATTGCATTTGTGATATGACTTGGGGCAGGGGTGTCTGAAATCAGGACCCCTTCTGTGGGATTCAGGTTTGCCTGGGGTTCAGTTTTTCCTTCCCTCAGATATCTAATCCCCCTGCAGGTACCCAGTGAGCCCTCCTTTTTAGCTCAGCTACACATGCTTTGGGCATTGTGTAAGGACGAGTTCATGCTGGGCTATCGCATCTCTTCCTTGTAACCTGCAGATAGTTCAACTGCCTTAGCACGGTGTGGAGGCCCAGAGAGGTGCTAAAGGATTGCCAGCATAAGTTCAGGCAGGCCATTTTGGAGAGATGGGACATCAGAAGGGAATGGTGGGGTTAGTGCAGGGTTTGCAGAGGACTAAATCTAGGCCCATCTCCTTGAGTCATGCTTGCCATTGTCTCAGTGTTTGCTGAATTTAAAAGTAACTTCTGGACCTTGTGGCTGTGGAGTAAAGATGTGAAATGAGTGCAGAGCAAAGCACTGATGTCTGCCTGAGTCAGCTGAGAGCCTGCAATGATCACTGTGGGAGAGAGGACCTACCACGTTCGTCCTAGTGGGGCATTAGCCTCAAGAGCACCAGGTGGCACAGCTGTGTTTGTGCTACCACAGCAAAAAAGTGTGGCAGAGGAGAAAAATATGGTATTTGACCCATATCCTCCACATACACTCTTGTTTCTGGTTAAATTGGGGCCAGTGGAGGACACTCCAGCCTCTTGGGTACCAGAAACACCCATGTTGCTGCCCCTGTAGGATAGAAAAGAGACCCAAGCCAGGTCCCCCTCCAGGAGAAAAAGGGAATGGGTACCTTGGCACGAGCCCTCATGGTGTTTTGATCAAGCCTTGGGTTTGAAAGAAATAAGAAAATCAAGTGAAGGGCAAAGGAGAGATTGAGAGACTGTGTGTTTTGCTGGACTAGGGGTGGGCAAAATATGGCCTGCAGGCCAAATCCTTCCCACGGAGTGATTCTGTCCAGCCCACAGCGGGTCCCTCCACCCCCAGTATGGGGGGCAGCCTGGGCTGTGGCGGGTGTGCTTGGTCCCACCACCCCTAGATGTGGAGGTGCCTTCTGGTGCAGCCTGCCCTATCCTGATGCTGAGCTCTTGGGCGCACTGGGAGCTGTAGTCCATGGGACCAGGCAGCAGCTGGGGACAGAGTTGTGGCCGAACTCAGCTTGGCAGCCCCTGTCGCTGCCACCCAGGAGCAGGTGCATGCCCTGCTGGCTCCCTGCCCTGCTGCATGAGCACTCTGGTGTGTCCACCCCTCACCTACCACTGGGGGCACAGGACAGAGCAGGCAGGCAGGCAGGGTCTCCATGAAGACCAGCCTGGGAACCCTGTGGACAGGGCACACCCAGCTGGGCAGATGGGATGGGGCTGCAGGTGGGTGGGGAGTAGTGTCTGGGAGCTGGGGAAGTGGGGCTGGGGCTGGGATCGTGGGACAGCGATAGCACAGGGTCTGGGGATGTGCAGGGACCAGGTCACAGTGATGTGCAGGGAGTGGGTTGTGGCTCTACCCTGGGCCCCTGCCCCACGTTGTCACTGCCCCATGATCCCAGCCCTGGTCCCACCTGCTCGTCCAGCTCCTGAACACCACTCTCCACCCGCCCATGGTCCCGTCCCATCTGAGCCACCTGCCCTCCCTTCCCACTGTGCCAGGTGGTGTAAACAGCTGTGATGGGGCCGAGGCCAGCTCAGCACCACGCTGTGGGAGCAGCAGCTGGGGATATATTTATAAGTCCCTGAAGCAGGTAAGAATCCTACCTGTGCACAGCACCCCCTCCCTTCCCCTCCATGCACAGCACCCCCTCCCATTCCCCTCCACCCCTGTCTGTTGCTGTGACTGTCTCCATTGTCCCCAGCTGCCCTGGCCCCTGTCCTGCTCCAGCCAGGCTGCCTGGGGGCTGGGCTCAGCCAGGAGCAGCAGCAGAGAGGTTCCTCCTCCCTGCCCAGTCCCCTAGGTGTTCCTTGCTAGTCTAGGAGCAGGCTCAGGGAGGGGGAACCTGCCCATTGCTGCTGTCCTCAGCTGAGCCCTGCTTCCTGTGCAGACCAGAGCAAGGCAGGACTGGCTCTGGAGCTCCCTCCCGGTCAGCTAGGGGCAACAGTTGTGGAGGAGGTTGGGGGGAGATGCCGCTGAGCATGGAGGGGAAAAAAGGGGGTGCCGAGAGCAGAGGGGGAGGTAGAATTCTTACCTGCTTCGGGGACCTAAAAATGGGCTATGGCTGCTGCTACTGTGGCATAGTCTGTCTGCCCCGTGCGGGGAGGAGCCTGGGAGCAGGGTTTGCAGCCACCACTGCAGCACTGGTCACTGCTTCTGCATCCCTTTTACAAAATCCTGGGTCTGCCCATGCACGTTGGAATATGTTGACTTGGGACCTATGATTTATTCTTGGTTTTGGAATAAAGAACCAGGTTCTTTGGGGTTCCAGTTACTGGGATTATTGGAGTTGGTGTTTATTCCCTCTGAATCATCCTGCAGGGAACAGGGGTAATAGAGAAGCTATGCAGTCTGTACAGGGGAGTGCCAGAGTTGTGGTTACCTGGGTCCTGTCACAAAGGGGAGCAGCAGTCGTGTTTCACGTCATCCAAAAAGCCTTGGCAGCATTGGGCTTGGTGGAAACTGTGTATGTGGGGTTTTCTTTAATTGATACTAAATGTTATTAAACTCCAGTTTGATTACTGGCTGTGGTCTGGGAGTGTCACTGCTTCAGGAAACGTGTCTGTATGTCTGTCTGCCACCAAAACCTGCCCTGCTCTGACCAGACAGAGAACTGTCATCATGTATGACTCGCGCACACATCTTGTCTGTACTAAAACATCCCCAGGTTCTTGCCTGATTCACCCCCACCCCTCCTCCAGCTCTTGTTAGGCTGCAAACTGGGGCAGAGGATATCCTGAACTGTGTTTGCCAGCACCTAGGAAAAATGCAGTAGCTTTGCAGTACGGTGGTGAGCAAATCCAGGAAAAGCGGCTGATCTAAAGGCTGTAGCTTAGGAGATGACAAGCAGTGGAAGCTGGAGAATACAAGTGTGTTAGATTTCTGTCCACTTCACCCTAATTTAGGACTTTATAAAGGTATAAATAATCAGAGTGCATGCACTCAGTGCAGTTCAGGGTCTTTTTCTGGCAAGTGCTGTCCTTGCCATTTTGCTGCACAGTGTTTGCCTTGGGGCCCAATTGCCTTCTCCTCAAGAAGCACGGGATGCAGGATCAGGCTCACTGAATAAGAAGCTCCCTGGGCAAGGGTCCTGTGTTTTTTTCCCTGTACTTTCCAAATGGCACCTCCGGTGCTATGTTTATAATGACCATCGTGTTACAGTACTTGAACTTTAATCCATGTGACTAGAGAGAACTTGAGCACTGCTACGAGATCCAGTAAAAACAACAAGCGTGTTGAGTAAGCAATGTTTATCGGAGCACTGGTGACTCTCCTTGGATCCTGCACAGTCTGTGCTGGGAAGCCCTAGAAATTCATCAAGAAGTGAACCAGCTGGATGCATCAGCTGAAACTCAGCCTAAAAGCTTCAGAAGCATTCCCAAAAGTGATCACTTGAACAAGGGAAGCATAGAGGATAGAAAGGGCTGTTTGAATGCTGTAGACTGGTAAGTGACTCTAAGATGTTGTTTTGAAGGGACTAACATGTCACTAAAGAAAAAAACAGGGTGTATCTGAAGCAACTGTGTAATTGAGTCTGAAGAGCAACACTGGACCAAATCCTGCCTGCTTTACTCATGCATTGGCTTCAGTGGGCATGTACATGTCAATCAGGCTAACAGGATTAGGGCTATTCCCATAGATCCCTTTGTTTTAAAACAAAAACTAAGCATCACTTCCATGCCGTGCTGAAACTTGACAGCATGTTGCCAGTGCATGACCCTTTCCCACCTCCCCCAAGCAAAACCAACCAGGATCTTTTTATTGTCCAAACTGAGTGAAGTGCAAAAACTAAACTGATAGGATAATCGGCAGCCATTATTCTCTTTTGTATTATAGTAGCACAGTGGCCCTAATTGTGCCATGCTAAACAGTGTGCCAGTGCTGAGTTAAACCACAGCCCCTGTCCTGAGCAGCGGAAAGTGAGGGTTTTTATTCCTTTTAGTTAGACATTCCTCAGTTTTATATTTTGATAATGTTCCCTGAGGTTTTCATGGAGACATCAGTTGTATAGTTCAGTGTAATGCTTTTCTTCCTTTATTTTTGTTTTGTGGTGGCCTTTCCATCTACAAATTCTTAGAGTGAAGGACAGCTGGAAAACCGCGGTGGCAGTCAGGAGTTCCTGGTTTCCAGTTGGCACTGCCACAGACTTGATGCACAAATTTGATTAGATAGAAGACCAAGGCTTGCACATTGGGTGATGAATTCCAGACACCTAAATTGTCAGGTGAGCATGCAAAAAAGGGACCTAGTGGTTGGGAGTGTTTTCTTTTCAGTCCAGCAGTGAGTGTTGTGGATACACGGCAGCTCTATGTTGAAAGTTAGCTAACCATCCTGTTTCAGACTGGTAGGGCTAACCAGGCATGCCACAAAGTAAGCCCCACCCCTTCCCTGAGTGGCACTCCAATCCCCTTTTCCTGCCTGACATGTTGCTCTGATTTCTGGTCCTGCCTTATAGTCCCTGCCTCATCTTTTGTTCTGCTTTTTGCTCCCTGCCCTATCTGCCACTGTTGCTTCACAATAGTGAGATAGCTTGCAGTACCAATGGGCAGGAATGAGCAGTAACTTATCTTGGATGCTGCACATAGTCATTTTAAATCCATCCATCCAATAGAACACAAGACATTTGGGGGAGTTGAAGATGGGTCTAGTAGAGACTTGAATTCCTCAGAGTTGTAACAAATATGCGAATGTGTAGCTCAATTTCTTGCAATTCCACAAATGCAGGAGTTAAAATATAACCAGTTTTGTAGGTTCTTGGGTGACAAAGTACACTGGGACTCCAGAGATGTTTGTAAGAGCACTGAAGAATATGTTGCAGGGAGCAAAGGTGCAGAAGCAGGGAGCCTAAGGAACCCTTAGCCCTCTTTTGTCTCTGAGTCTGATTCTATGAAGATCCTGCGAGAACAAAATTGTGCTAGGAGATGTACTATTACCATGGACATCATGGAAATATATATAACTTGTACAGTAGGTAAGATTTATAGTTGGTAGAAATCAAAGTATTCTTATTCCTGTTTTATGAACACAGAAACTGAGGCATCAGAAGACAAATTGTCATGCCTAAGGCTTACATTTCAAGTCAACAGCAGTTTTAGGAATAGTACTCGCCCGTTCGGCCTCTTAGTCCTATGTCCTGTCCTCCGGACCCTGTTGTCTACCATAGTTCTACTCTCCCTTTCTTGTGCGTGTTCAGAGTTGCTGGAAAGTCTTTGTAAAGAACTGCCTGTTTAAATAACATGCTGTCTAATGTTAATCAAGCGGTACTACCTCCTGGCTGTGAGATAATATTTGTCACAGGAGCTTTCCCTAGGCTTGTAGCAGAACAAAATCAACTTTGCTCTGAGCATTGATCCTCTTAATCTGGAGGGTTCATGGAGGTTCTTGTCTTGACTTGTCCTCGGTCGGGGGGAGGCAGACTTGTTCTCCTGAGTGAGATTGTTTTCCTTTGGCTCTGGTTCATATCCTCTCCACTTCCACCTTGATGGTGGTGGAGTACAGCCCAGTTGTTGATTATTGTAAAGATTTGATCATAGTCTTCTAGGATTTGAACCTCAGTTCTTTGTCTAGCTTTTCGTGTCATCCCACAGCTGAATGGTGTCACTGGTGTCTCTGGGCCTGTTACGTGGTAATTTTGGGTAGCTCCTGGAGCTCTTGATGCCTGGACTGTCCACACGTTAATACATTAAAGTGGTTTTAAGCACTCACTATACAGCTCAAAAGTTAGGCCACTCCAGAATTATCTCTGATCCCCACTACCCAGCTTCTGTTCCATTAATGTGTGGCCACTTTTCACAGCTGTGCTACCCAAGTTATGAAGTCCCAGCATCTCTAACACCACCTGTTGAGCAGGGATCGAAGCCTGTCCTGGCTTACCAGCCCTCCAGCAGCAACTCACAGCTCCAGCTCCTAGTCCTGCCCCTGCTCACCAGGCCAGTAGTGGCAAGTCACAGCTGTGCCAGTGTGGGACAGTCATTGAAGGTTTCCAGACTAAGGGTGCAACTGCTCCAAACTCCAAGCTAGAACTAACACACATCAACATTTTGTGTGGCTCATAGGGTAAGGTGTAACAAGGCCCTCTGTGACCATTGTCAGTCTGCTATAGCCATTTTTATTGTACCACTGGAGTGGTGATTTTTTTTCCCCAATTGCAGTAGGTTTTGGGAATCGAGAAGAGAAGAAGCACATGCACCATTATCATTGCTCCCACAGGGGCTGGCATCTCACAGTCCTTGCTGTATTTGGCTCAATACCTGCCAGGACCAGGCCCTTCATTAGTTACTGAATGTTGCAGGCAATCTGATACTCGCCTGCTGTAGCGTCAGTCAGCTACTTGGATAATTTAACGAGTGGTGTCTGAGCTGCATGCAAAATTCAGTTAATTTCTTTAGTGCTTCTAATGACTTAGCCAATAAGTAGTAACATGAGCTGTGGAGGATGGGAAGCATCCTAGGAATCTCGGCCCTAGCTGCTCAGAGAGATCCTGTTGCCTGGTCCTGGTTATCCTTGCTGCTGGGTTTCCTCCTGTGTTAAAGGGACATTACAGATTGGCACAGTGGCCAGGCCTCCTATCCTGATGTATGCTGCTAGCCATCCTGCAGTAGGTGAAGCATCTGTCATCTGTGGAAAGTGTGTGCCACGGGTCCAGTCGTGACCCTAGCCAGGTCAGGGAGAGGTGCCACACTGTGGCAGTGAAGATGGTTTGGAGTCCCCAGACTCCCAAAGCTACTCTGCAGACTTCACGGCTGCCTCAGTGCTGCTGTTGTCTCTGTACCACCATGCAAAGAACTGAAACATGGAGCCAGTGGAGCAGGGAGACCCAGTCATGCCTTTCTCCATAGCTGTCCCCTGCCGCGACATGATGATTCTCCGGCTACTCCCCATTCTGATCCGCTGTACAATGGAGCTGCATTATTAGAACTGTGTAGGTAAGGCGAGGTTTACCCAAGAGTCAACAATGCTTTGTCCAATAAATTCTCCGCTCCTGATCTGTAGATAAGAAGTACTATGTGCCTGCTAGGTCATTGTATTATTGCTACTGTTATTGTCCTGCTCCAGAAGCCCATATCCCACCTGAGAGGAGAATAGCTGCTACTAGCGTACCTCTTATGACCCAAACCCATGACTGGCTGCTCATTGTTTCTTTTGCATCAAACCCAATAATACTGGGTTTCACATTTGGGCTTGTCTTTATGTAAACTTCCACAAAATGAACACACACAGACTTTGTTTTTTGGTCTCATAGCAGTTATCACTTTGAATCCCAATAAGCTGTATCTAGGCCAGGTATACAACTTCTACAATGTATTTGTGTTAATAATAAGAAAATAAGAAATAAGATTGTTTTTTCTCTTACTGGTACACTTTAAATTTTTCCCTTCTACTGCTCCCAGGGCTATACTAATTATTAATTAACTGGTAAAGAAAATCTTGGTCTTTCTTTAATTCACAGATTCACAGAAAATTAGGTTTGGAAGGAGCTCATCTAGCCCAGGGGTTGTCAGCTGGGGGTACGTGGGAAGGGCCTAGGGGGTACGCACAGGCGGGCATGGATGGAGTGCTGTCATCCACCACCCTGAGGTGCCTCCTCCCAGGAGCTGGAGGGGGTGGGGGGGCAAGGGCAGCGGCACTTGCCACACAGGCACCAGCTGGATGCGGAGCGGGGAGCAGGAAGCTTGCACATGGTGGTGGCAACCGCCATCCACCACCCTGTATTGCCGCTGCTCTGCGTCCAGCTGCGTGTCACCCCCCACTGCCACCCCAGCCACGTGCTAGCCCCCCTCCCGTGGCTCCACGCTACCTCCCACTCTGCGTCCAGCCGCCGGGGGTACATCTATTAAAAAAGTGTGAAAACCCCATATCTAGTCCAACCCCCCTACTCAAAGCAGGGCCATCCCCAACTATATCATCCCAGCCAAGGTTTTGTCTAGCCAAGTCTGAAAAACCTCCAAGGATGGAGCTTCCACCACTTCTCCAGGTGACCTCTTCCAGTGCTTTACTACCCTCCTCATGAGAGAGTTTTTCCTAATATCTAATTTAAACTTCCCGTGCTGCATTTTGAGGCCATTGCTTTTTTTTCTGTCATCTGCCACCACTGAGAACAGTCTAGCTCAGGGGTGGGCAAAATATGGCTTGTGGGGTGGATCCAACCTGCCAACTGATTGTATCTAGCCCCTGGGTGGGTAGTCATCAACTCATGGTATCTGGCCCTTGGGTGGCCAGTGGCTCTGGCTGCCATGTGCTACCAGGCAGGCAGGTGGGATGGCTTCTGCTGCGCAGGGTGGGCGGGCAAGACTGCTTCTGCCCAGTGCTGATGCAGTGGTGTCAGTTGTGGACCCAGGCAGATGCTCCAGTCCCCACCCAGAACCTGCCAGGCACATGCACAGCCGATGCTGATGCCTGCTTGGGGCTGTTTCCACTGCACTGGGTGGGTGGTGGCGAAAGCTGCAGATGGGGCCAGCAGGTTCCAGGTTGGGGATGTGGATTGGGGCATGTTACAGCCCCAGGTGTTGTGGGAGGGAGAGAGAGGATTGGGGCATGCTACAACTCCAGGGAAAGAGGGAGAGGATTGGGGAAAGAGAAAGAGAGAGCTGCTGGACATTACTATAATGTTACAATTAGTTATCAAAGAAGTTGGAGTTACAGTAAACTCTGGTTAATTCATCACCCCAAGGGGGTGGGTAATAATAGCAAATGAACCACAAGTGTCCAATTACATATAATTAGCCATTTTCAATTTTTCTTGAGAGGTATTTTGAATCTCTTGATGTGACACAGTAAAGGAATTTTTTTGACATTTATAATGAAGAAAAATGTACTACAGAAATGTTGGGTGCAAATTGTATGCACTCTGGCTTTCCATATATGAATTGTATGATTATATAGAAAAATATGTACAGTTTCTTACTAAAAGTCAGAGTGCTCATGATCGAAGAATTAATGATTAATGTGGAAGAGAAAAATCCAATTAAAGATTTTTGCTCTGCATTGTTACATGCACTCCATGCCAAAGAAGTATATTCTTTGAGATGAAATAGTTAATCATAAGTCTTACTGAGCCAAGAAAAACTGAAGCATATCCAATGCTTTGCAAGAACCAGTGTCTTGAGAAGTTCTATACATATAGACACTTCTGAGCTAATTAGTAGGAATAAATTTCATTGTGATAGAATGTGTGTGCGCGCTTTGTGTGGCTAATTAGCCAATGTTCTGTGTATAAATCAGTGG